TGGTGCCTCTCACCACGTCACCAATGACTTGAACAACTTATCTCTCCACACCCCATACGACGGCACTGAGGAACTCGTCATCGGTGATGGTACATGTCTCAACATCACTCATATCGGTTTCCTTGTTATTAAAACTCCCAACACACCTCTAATTCTTAAAAATGTCTTGTGTGTACCTTCTTTATCTCGCAATATAATTTCAATATCTCGCCTATGTCTTGATAACAGTTTTCTCATTCAATTCTATTCTTTTATATTTGTTATCAAGGATCGGAACTCCAACATTCCGCTACTCAGGGGCACAGCAACACAGGGAATATATGAACTACAATCCTCTAAACCGTTTTCACCTCTGGTTTGTTCCATGCATCGGACCGATTCCATGACCTGGCACCATCGACTCGGCCACCCGCATAATAAAGTCTTTAAATTTTTATCATCATTTGTCTCCTTCAAATCTAGTTCTATTGAAAATTGTAATTCGTGTCATATTAATAAAAGTCATCGTTTACCTTTCTCTACCTCTTCTTTATCTTCTAATGCTCCCTTGGATTTAATATTTTCTGATGTTTGGAGTTCCCATGTTACATCCTATGATCACTACAAGTAATACATCATATTTGTTGATCATTTCACCAAATACATTTGGCTTTACCCCTTACAAAGAAAATCAGACTCCTTAACAGTTTTTATTCGTTTTCAAAACATTGTTGAAAATTATTTTAATCGAAAAATCAAACAGTTTTTTTCCGACAATGGTGGTGAATACATAAAACTTTCTTCTCATCTATCTTCCTCTGGTATCGTTCACCTAACTTCTCCGCCACACACCCCGGAACATAACGATTATGCAGAACGCCGTCATCGTCATATTGTCGAAACCGGTCTTCCCCTATTATCACATGCACAACTACCGGTCACCTTTTGGCCTTTTGCGTTCACCACTGCTGCTTATCTAATCAACCGCATGCCTACTCCCACCTTAAATCATTCTTCTCCTTATTTTCGTTTGTTCCAACGTCACCCCAACTATTCAAAACTTCGAAGCTTTGGGTATTTATGCTACCCATGGCTCCGACCCTATTCTTCAAACAAATTAGATCCAAAATCCATTCCTTGTTTTTTTGTTGGATACTCTTCCACTCAAAGTGCTTACCATGCTCTTGATCCCATCACTTCCAAACTCTATACTTCATGCCGCGTAACCTTTGTAGAACATGAGTTTCCTTTCACTAAACTTACCAACTCCACACATTCTCCACCTGAACCTTCTGTATGGAATCCTCTCATACTTATTTCACCCCAAATTCCAACTTCATCAACCATACCCACCAATGTTTTAAAAATCGGTTTTTTAGTTGAACCGGTATGGTGACCGGTTCGCGGTTCGACCGGTTTAACCGGTTCGACCGTCGGGTCAACCGGTTTTAATATTTTTCATGTTTTTTCCTATTTTTCTACACATACATACATATATAAATCATGAATTTGATGTTTACAAGTTCAAACATTAAAAATACACATAAAAAATAAGTTTTAGATGAATCCAAATACATTAAAATAACACATAACCATAAGTTTTAGTGTTTTACATCAATCTATATACGTCAAAAAGAAAATAAAATATAATACCGAAACAAAATATATTTTTAGACGAATACAAACACATCAAAAAACTTTATAACATTTATCATATGTTTTTATTTAAAGAAACTAAATAGATTTGAAAAAAAAAAAACACCAAAGTTTATTATGTAAATGGTTCTTTTTCATATGTTTTTATTTGGTTTAACCGGTTCAACCGGTTTATTTTGACCGGTTCAACCGGGTTTTTCTAAAAACCGGCTGGTTCAATCCGGTTCAGAAATCGACATAAAACCGGTGATAGTTGAACCGCTCATTCTCCCGGTTCCCGGTCTAACCGGTTCGACCGGCCGGTTCAAACCGGTTTTTAAAACATTGATACCCACCTCCCAACTCTCTCAAAATACCCCACATGAGCCCACAGATACGTTGTCACCCTCCAACTCTCCAAACTCACCTTATTTCAACTCTCCAAACCCACTGTCACCCCCACCCGCTCCTCCCTCTCCTCCACATCCACCACCCACTCCTCCCTCTCATCCACATCCAACCCCACCATCAAAACCCACCACCATAGCTCAACCAAAACCAAACACCCGCTATCACAATTCAGATTTTATTTTATACACCAGCACTGTTTCCGTTCCACCTGACCTACTCACCATTACTCATGCACTTAAACAACCATTATGGTGTCATGCCATGCAAGATGAATTTGATGCATTAACACGCAATCAAACATGGTCACTAATTCCTTCCAATCTTGCTCCTAACCTTGTTGGCTCCAAATGGGTCTTCCGAACTAAATATAAACTTGATGGGTCGGTTGATCGACTCAAATCTCGCTTAGTTGCCAAAGGTTTCACCCAACGTCCTGGTATTGACTATCGTGAAACCTTTAGTCCCGTTCTTAAATCGGATACCCTTCGTCTTGTGCTTTCCATAGCCGTCTCTCAACGTTGGTCCCTTCGCCGACTGGACATTAACAATGCATTTCTCCAAGGCACGTTAAATGAGGAGTTCTTCATGGCCTATGCCTCCCAGTTTTGTCGATCCTTCCTTTCCAAATCATGTTTGTAAACTAAACAAAGCCATCTATGGTCTTCGTCAAGCATCTCGTGCATGGTACGATGAGCTAAAATCATACGTCATTTCTCTTGGTTTCAAATCTACAATTTCTGACCCCTCTTTATTCATTCTCACCACCGGACCCTCTCCCATTTATGTCCTTGTTTACGTTGATGATATCATTGTTACCGGTCCATCCATAAATCATATTGATCGTTTCATTCATCTTCTCGCACACAAGTTTTCTTTAAAGGACCTCGGACCTCTCTCTTTCTTTCTCGGCGTTGAAGTAATTCCCCACTCCTATGGTCTCTTTCTTTCTCAAAAGAAATACATAACCGACATCCTTCATAAAGCTAATATGAGTGATTGCAAGTCTGTTTCCACACCGATTTCTTGTTCCGATGTGCTTACTTTACATGGCGGTAACCCACATCCTTCTCCATCAGAATATCGCATACTTGTGGGAGCTCTACAATACTTGTCCCTCACTAGGCCAGACATTGCTTTTACTGTCAACAAATTGTCTCAATTTATGCATGCTCCTACTTTTCAACATTGGACTGCCTTAAAGAGACTTCTCGGATTTTTACAAGGAAATTTGCATAAAGGCCTTCTCCTACGACATGACTCTCCATTACATTTACATGCATTTACAGATGCAGATTGGGTCGGTGACAAAGACGTTTACCGTAGTACCACTGGTTACATCGTTTATCTTGGTTCAAATCCTATATCATGGAGCTCAAAGAGACAAAGTACCCTTGCACGCAGCACTAATGAGGCCGAATTCAGGGTCGTTGCTTCCATAACAATCGAGGTCCAATGGCTATCCTCTCTTCTGTTTGAACTCGGCTATACACAATCCATTACACCAACTATATACTGAATCTCAGTGCTACAACAGACTCGGCGAATCCTGTTTTTCATTCTCGAATGAAACACTTAGCTTTAGATTTCCATTTTGTGAGAGAAAAAGTTCAATATGGCACCTTACGAGTTACTCACATCTGTGGTGAGGATCAACTAGCTGACTTACTCACCAAACCGCTGCTTCGACCACGTTTCAACCTACTTTCATCCAAGATTGGTCTCACTTTAGGTTCATCCATCTTGCGGGGGAATGTTAAGTCTCAACCCTTGAACCACACCCAAAACCCAACCGATCAAAAACATTCAGGGACTAAATTGAAATAACTCTAATTATTTCAATCACAATACTCTGGTTACAGGCTGTCACAAATCAGTGGGCATCACAATCTTCTCCTTAATATTTAAATATGTTTTCCTTTTATAGTTCCTGATTTCATGTTGTACATTTGGTATATATTGCTTTTAACGTATTCACAATGAATCAAAATTGAATTCATATACACAGAGCTCTCTGATTCTTTAATGTGATAACCTAAAAACCGTTATTACATGTAACAAAGAGAAAAAAAATGGAAAAAACAAAAAAAAAATTAACAAATTTTGGGCATTAACGAACAAGAAATCGTCACAGAGACAAAACCGACAAAATTTTAACAAAATTAAGGACTTGCATGACAAAAGCCTATACTTGTATTGATATTTATAATATATTTTTTTCTAAGTAGTATTTTATTTGAATTTAATGACTTCGGTCTTGGTCTAAAAGTATTTTATTTATTTTTACTAAATGATGTTTTAAATATTTGATTAAATATTAAGTCGTATATTATATTTTTTGTAGACTGGATTTTGTAAAAGGTCTATCTAATAAATTAAATTGGAAAAATTTGTTTATTAACACATCTGATGCACTAAACAACAAATAAAGGTGGGATCGGAAGCTATGACTTATATAAGGAAAATAATTTGTACACAAGAAGTTTTATTCATACATTAAAAAAATCTATCATGCATTTACAATGTTATCTCATTTTAATACATTAAAAATCAAACATTTTGTTTTATGTTAACATCCAAAACTGTATTTATTTTTACACAAGTAAACCAGATTTTTTCTTAGAGTATAAAATTGAACTTTTTTATACTTTTTCACATTCTTCGTTTATAATCTAACAATATCAATCAATCAGATTAACTACCATAGTAGCATATACAAACCAACTTGAGACAAAAGGACATGGAGAAAAAAAGACTTGAAAGAACCCATATTAATAATTTCTGAAGAAATTTGATTAATTAAAATATGTGTAACTGAAATTAATAAAACATTTGAATATTTTATTAAAAAAATAAGGAAAATGCTACCTATTAAATTTTGCCGGTAAAATCGCACTTATTTTCCCCAATTCTAAGCAAAGGTGCTCTCTTCTGTTCAACTTCCACTTCTCCTTTTTTGACTTTAAAAGTCAAGATTCATTCATTCATTCCATTCTCTCTTTCAATGTATATAGTATATACATATGTTTCTGCATATATTTTTTGATCTTTGATCCCATTATTCAACTCAAAGTTTCATCTTCTTTGGAGCTCCATATATAAGCTGATTATGAAGAACACTTCTGTAAGTTTGCTCATCTTTGATTAAATTTGAAGCAGATCATACCAGCAATTGCTTATTACATCTTAATCTTTTTGCACATTTTTTTATGCTACATACTCAAAATATTTGAAGATTTTGTATTAGAACATAAGATTTGTTAACGGAGTTGCTTCATTTGGTTAGTTAATACTCAAAATGTTCTTGTAAAACTTCATCCTAATCTACTAATCTCTTTATGTAATATATCAGGTAGCATTGCCTATGATCAAGAGGCAAAAATCATTACTATGCAGCCCTCTTCTTGGTGCTATATTAGTCTCCATGGCTTTCTTTATAGCAAGTGCACTAATTGTCATAGATCATAAACAGGTAGACATAGTTTTAAAATCTTTCATCTAGTCTAGACTACTAATTAAAAAACTTATGGGTTTGGGTTCACATAATAGTTTTGGTGATGTATCTTTTAAAATGATGTTTGGATATATATATGTGATACGTCAATAGATGATAAGTTTACCCTTTTGTCTCTACGACATAATAAAGAAAGGCATGTATGGATGGTTTTTTACTTAATGTAGAAAGAACCAGGAAAAATATTTTAATAGCGACTTTTTGATTAATTATCATTAATGAATCTTCATATTAAATACTCATATGGTATCTCCTTTGATTTGATAAGTTCCCAAACTTACGGGCAATCTTGGTTCAGAGATCTCCAGAACTACGAAAGCCTGAGGCTCTACAAGTTACACCAATGAACATATGCGAGGTTTGACACTTTTGTCTAAATATGTATAATTAATCTTTAACTTTCTTGACAATATCACATGTAAAGATATAAAAAAGTTGATCTTTATTTTTTCAAGAATCAATGCAGTCGTGATGGAAGTGAAGCGTTGCCTAAAGGAATCGTGTCAAAAACATCTGATCTAGAGATGCGGCCATTATGGGGCCCTCGTAAGAAGAGGGTGCGTACGTATAACTCTACTAGAAAATATGGCATCATGAGTTACAAATTTTCAACCAAATCGTCGCTAAAACTGTTGCTACAATCTTATTTTCGACCAATATGTACCACTTCATCTCTCCCTTACTAGTTCTATATTATTTACCAGAAGAACGTGAAGTCACCAATGAGCTTGTTGGCTATGGCGGTTGGGAAGAAGCAAAAAGCAAATGTCAATGAAATGATTAAGAAGGTGATTGATTTAGTAATAATTAAGTGATATATATATATATATATATATATATATATATATATAGTCATGAAAGATTCATAACTTGCTTTGAGACAAATCATTTGTGTTCAAAATTAGTTCCCATCGGATGATTTTGTGATTATGCTGTTCCACTATGATGGGATTGTGGATGAATGGAAGGATCTAGAATGGAGTAGTCGTGTCATACATATTTCAGCTATAAGCCAAACAAAATGGTAAGAATTTTCCCATTGGATGACTTTGTGATTATATATATTCCAAAATTAATATATACAAATGTGGTAATTGATTCTTACCTATGGATGGCTTAGGTGGTTTGCTAAGAGGTTCTTGCATCCAGACGTTGTCTCAGAATACGCTTATATTTTCCTTTGGGATGAAGATCTTGGTGTACAAAATTTTGATGCGGGAAGGTTCTTCATTTATCCCTAAACCCTAAAATTAACAAAAGTAAGCAAATGAAGGTGATTTATAGTGGTTCTAATGATGCAGATACGTATCGATAATAAAAAAAGAAGGGCTTCATATATCTCAGCCAGCACTCGATCCTGAAAAATCAGAGGTGCATCATGAAATGACATCGCGAGAAAGTGGATCAACCGTACACAGGTAGAAATGTTAATCTTAGTACATTTAACTTTAAGGATATGTTTGAATGAGCTTTTGGATTCATAGTTTTTGTTTAAAGAACTTCTATCAATTTTCGAATGGCAAAAGTGTTATATTTGACATAGAAAGTCAAATTGTTGACTTACCTATATAGTATGTTTCAATTGTTGTTGATATTATGGTAACAGAAGGATCGAAAGAATGAGCCGCTCAAGGAAACAATGTTATAGAAACAGCACAGATCCGCCATGTACAGGGTATGCAAGACCTTAAAAGATCCATCATTTTAATTTTTGTTTTTTATTTTCATTTTGATCCATGTGTTAATTAACTTAGGTGGGTGGAAATGATGGCTCCTGTTTTCTCAAAAGAAGCATGGCGTTGTGTGTGGTATATGATTCAGGTAACTACAATAAACTTATTCTTCTAACAACTCCTAAGGCGTCAACTACTCCATTTTTTGAATTCAACACAAACTGTAACTGTTGAGACTCCAACCTTTCACCATTTTGTACTTGATTTGTGACAGAATGACTTGATTCATGCATGGGGATTGGACATGCAACTAGGATATTGTGCACAGGGTAATCGAACACAATATATTGGTATTGTTGACTCTGAATATGTTGTTCACTATGGTCTTCCTACACTTGGGGGATCATCACAGAATAAGGTACGTATATATATATATATATATATATATATATATATATATATATATATATATATATATATATATATATATATATTTTATAGTGTATTTGGTTTGACATTAAGCAACATAACATGTGTGGAAAAGTCAAATAGACGTTTGTAAGTTGTAACACGATGCATGGTTGACTAATATGCACATGGGTTACTTTTTGTGCATGAGTATGACGAAAGGAATGATTGGACATGTGATCATGTGCCTTGATTTATTTCTTATGATTATTTTATGCAGACAAATAGTGACTCATCGAAAGAATCTTCTTCAAAGGAATCAGTCCCATTAGAATCCAATCACACTGATATTAGAGCTGAGGTAACTTTAATTTGCGTCTTCATAATATTATAAATAAACCATGAAAACTAGAAATATATATTTTTTTTTTTTGTATTAATTTGTAGGTCCGAAAACAGTCATTTAACGAATTGGAAACATTCAAAAGAAGATGGAGAAAAGCAGTTCACGAAGATGAATGTTGGGTTGATCCATACAACCAACATTGACAAACACAAAATCCCCTTGGATTATTTTTAAGTTTTACAATTATTTAACAAATATAAATGTTCTTTTCAAATTCATATACGTGTAACAAATAACAATAATTAATCACATATATATATATATACCATTTTTTGTTTTATATTATGAATCAATGTCACAATGACATCATATACGAACCTTTCTACTAACGAGTCCAGCAATAACCGTTGCTAATTCTTCACCCAAGTCCTCCTGTACATGATGCCCTGCCTACAAGAAAAATGTCACCACAAGTTATTCAGCAGACAGCAGACAGTAAACAGTAGAATTGTTAGTACCATGGGAAGTTCGACTAGTCGATGTTTTGAAGCCGTGCAAAAATCTTCAACTCCATCAAAGTCTAGCCAACGGTCTCTTTGTCCCCAACATATTGAAGTTTTAACTTTCCAATCATCATCCATAAGGATTTTTCTCATTTCTTCAACATAGTTCTGCACATAAACAAACTTTTTAGGGTTATTTTCAATGATGACAACATGAATGAATAAGTTACCTTAAGTTCCTTTTTCATTGAGCGACTTATTGCATTAAGAGCAAATCCAGATGAACCAGATGTAAGATATGGTCTCCTATACACCATAGCATCATCTTCTTTCATTTTGTAGGGTCCACAGCTTGTTAATGTTTTATCGCTTGCCCTAAGAGGATCCTGATCAAATTCATATATAATCATTCAGATTGTGTTTCTAGAACCATTTCTATGATGAGGGTATTTATGTCTTTTTTCCACTTTTTGGGTGGGACAAAAAAAAATGCAATTTTTAATATACCTGTGAAAATATTTCACCCAACAAAAAGTTGCTGAAAATTGACAATGTTGATGGCAGGTTTGCATGCTTGGCTGTAAGCTTTAGTCATTGAACTATACAACATTAGATTTTGACTTGTATCTATTTTATTCAGTAAAACTATATGTAAAAAAACACATAAATTCTGTGGAGAAAGTTGGAAAAGTGCTTACAGGAGGATTAAGCAGTATGAGATCATTCAACTTCTCTTGATGTTTGCTTGCATATTTAACAACAATTGGCGCAAAATACCCCTGAAAAGTTTAAAATGATGGTTCTCAGTTGTCACCACTTAAATCTCTTGTCTGATATATCAAAAAGTTAAAATGGGTACAAAAAAAATATACCTGAACAACGAGTGAAACCTTGTTGACCCCAAGTTCATCAATAACAGATCCCAAAGCTGACACAAATTCTGCATACCACAAAATACAGTGTGATTTGAAATGTTGTATACCCTTTTATGTCTTTTAATAAAAACTGCAAACATGAATGAGAATGGGGTTATCGGTAATTTACCATCTAAGGTGTAATCAAAACCATATTTGGGTTGAGGCTTCTCTGAATATCCGAAGCCTGTAAGAGCAAAAAAGATAACATCAAGACTAGGGGCAAATAAGTAATTTTAGCAAAATAAGATGTAAATATGTAATGCCTCACCCAACCAGTCAAAAGCTATGGTATGATAATCCTTGGATAGCAATGGCAGTACCTTGCGATATGAATAAGCCTAAAAGACACCACATGAAATAAATGTAAAATTTGAAATTTGATCAAACAAGATTAATATAGTTTTCTTGATAAATTAAAAGGGAAAATAGAACTCACTTGTGAAGGAAATCCATGAATTAGTAAAACTGAAGGTTTATCAGCATTTCCACTTTCAACGCAAAACCATCTAGTGCAAAAATTATATAGAGAGAGCATGTTTCAATCGGTAATCCCTGCAAATAGTCCACCTTCAATTACTGCACTACAATCACCTACCCTACTATCACTTTCAATCCTCCATCCAATGAAGATTGTGATGTTTGACTTAAATTGAAGTTTAATAAAAAGAATGTTGAGTTCAATGAGATGTAGGAATTGATCATACAAAAAAAATGGAAATTGTTGAAATTCTCATTGGATGGAGGGATTGCTGTTATAGAACAATACTTAAGAAGTACCTGAAGAGATCTGTTGAGGTCTGTGAATTGCCACCCATTGTCAAACCAAAAATTGGATCCTTGGCCTTTTCACCGGTGCCATAAACAGGATGTGCTTTCATCTGAAGATAAAAATTGTTAAGTTAGGTTTTCAATTTGATACTTGAAGATCAAAGTAAGTAAATTATTTTCATACAGTAGAAACTCACATATTTTCCTGTCTTAAACCACTCATCAGCAGGATTAGGTCCATCAGAATACTTCCCTGTTCAAAACAAATACTACTCAACGCTATATTTGAGAAACGGATTACAAATTTTTACACATGGAGAAGCAAATTCGAACCTCCGCTAAAAGAGAAGCCATCTCCAGCGGAAACAGGAGCGTCCAACAAATAACCCTAATTGAACATATTCATTGAATCAGAAAAAGTAAAAAAAAAAAAATCAAACAGTTTCATGATTGAGAAAAACGAAACTTACATCATCGCCGTCATCGCTAATGGATTGGCAGGTGAAGGCTATCGATCTCTTTCTTCTTTGGAAGAGGATGTGACCCTTCGATTTGAGGGAGCTGTGGCGGAGGGAGGGCTGAAATGGTGTGAGGGAATGGAGGAGGAACGAGGGAGTGTTGGATTGAAGAGATGTGATGTGAAGAATGGCAGCCATTTTCTTGGATGGGTTTGGCGCGAGTGAGCAAGATGATAGCATCCAAAGGGAATAAAAGGTGGCCGTTGTGTTTATTTTTGAATCATTAAATAAAGATAGAGCCTCATTGGTTCTCATTCTTTACAATCTTATTTAGGCATATTCGTTTGGATAGATTGATTTGATCTGATCCGATCCAATCAAGTGAATCCAAATTGATTTCGGTTTTCAAAACATGGATCTGAATAGTCCAAACCAAAATCAAATCTGATCCGATCCGATCCAATTACAATTCGGTTTGATAGGTTTTTATAATTCGGTTTTCAAAAACCGAAGCATTTTAAAACGACATATAATTATAATATTACTCAACTTTACACAAAAAACGAAAACAAATTATTTAGTTGTGATTTGAAATTTATAAACAACTAATAAGAAGATATATTATAGTTAAATATTTTACAGATACAAAACTTTTGAGAGAAAATGCATATTAATGTTTTTTTATCTATTGAAACGTTTTGATCCTATTTGAAAAAATAAATTACAAAATTAATAAATAACTATATATATATATATATATATATATATATATATATATATATATATATATAAATAAATAATAAATGTTTATTTGGACTATTCGGTTCTTATTTTACAAACCAAAACCAATCCAAAATCCAATATAATAATTCGGTTTTATTGAAAACCAATCCAAAGATCCGATTATTCAAACCAAATAGTCCAATCTAAATTGTCCAATTGGACAATTCGGTTTTATCCAAATAGTGAACAGTCATAATCTTATTATTTAACATATATATATATATATATATATATATATATATATATATATATATATATATATAATCTTAAATGCTATTATTATTTTGAAATTCCTTTTCTTATTATATGTGAAAAAGCTTTACTATTTTTTATTATATAATGTAACTTTAAGTTTAAAGAAAATGAAGTTTTTGGTTATATATCCTATAGTTTTATGAAATGAAATCATTATTTCTTTTAATATTGAGACAAAATTCTTTTTTGACTATTTGAATCTTAAAGTCCAAACTTGTCTCTCCAAAAGAACCCTTAGAGTGGTGGGTGTGGGCAACGCCCCACACGCGTTACTAGGAGAAAAAGAAGGAAATGTCGTTAAGAGATGTTATGGTGGTAACGGGAAGCAACGGGGATGCCTTTAACATGGAATAACATGGGAGGGGGACGGTGTTCATTGGCGTTATTAGGTGTTATTAGGCATAATAACAGGAGTGGGCGTTGCCCACTCCGAGTAGCCTTATGGAGACTATGGAGACAGAAGAGACTCCAATATATATAGACGTTTATTGAACCGTACTGATGCGAGATATACTAACAATATCATCTAGAAATTTACGATTGGCATATCATAATAGTCAGATTGATTACGTTATTGTTCAAATTTCTTGTACATGGTGTTATTATCAAGCTATTTAATGACAATGTTGTTTCTATATAAATTGATGTCTTTCGTTCTATATTACTAGTCAATTGGTCAAAAATTCTCCTCATCTTTGATGAGAACTTTAGAGTGGCGACATCAGGTTTGGGTGTTGCACATTTTGATGCATGATGGCATATTAATAAATATGACCTTTTAAACTCTTTATCTAATGATGTTAACAGTTGTTTTATAGACTGTTTTGCTCTTTAAACTTAATGTGATTTCGCATGTTGAGTTCAAGAAATCACTCCTTTCTCTAAATATATTATGATTTACTTTCCTTAGGTTGGTCGAAAATGATGAGAGAGAGCATTTGTCTTTACTTAGATGTTATTTTAACTTTTCAAGTGTAAAATTAATCAAATTAGGATCACAATACAAAGTACGAACACATATGGAGAAGGTGCATTTCATTTTAATAAGATAGCATTGTCTTAACCGCTTTTTACAATGCAAAATTTTCAAACAAAATTCAAATATACAAAACATCATAAAACAATATGCTTCAAAATATCATCACATCCATTAATATACAACTTCCCATATTTAGCCATCCAAAAAAACACAAATTAACCTTTCATTTACTTAACATAGTAAGGAAGGTCAAGTACATAAAGAAGATAAAAAGCCCAAATGACCCCCGAGATCCCACCAAAGAAGAATCCGCCAGTAAACTTGGCCCAACCGTCAGCTGTTTGAAGTTGATCCGGCTCCTTCTTCCTCCCGGTCAAAGTCAACGATGGCGCAATCGATGGCTCGCCCTCTTTAAACGAAGCCATCCCATACATCGTCAAGCAGATGCTTAAGATCACCACTAGCCCACCAGCAGCTAGTGAGCCAGCCGCACCAGCATACTCTGTGTTCCTTAGTGGGCCTGCTTTCACAAATGGACCCACTAGAAAGAACCCATGGGCTAGCCCAACCTCAATACCACGTAGCAGTGGGTTGACAGCTGTGCGGTATCCAGGAAGGTTTGAAAGGTACCATGCAATCAATGGGCTTGATGTGACGGGTGTCTCGAGGCTTCCGATGAATGGGTCACCGTTGATGGGCTGGATCACTTGGTAATTGGGCTGCATAGTACATCAAGATAACCTTTTGTTAATTCCTTATTGATTTTACATCATAAGATTTCATTTGTTTAATCAATTAAGGTGACATTTAGCATATTTTACTAATGATCAAACAACACAAATACTAATATGGAGTTCAAAAAAAAAAAAAAAAAAAAGGAAAATCCATGAATGGAAGAAGAAAACCTTATCGGTTTTAACAGCCTTGATGGTGAACGAAGATTTGCGAGAGGAAGGCAAGATTCTGAATGGTGTACCAGAAATGCCCTTTGGGGTAACAAGGTCCCTTGTAAAAGAAGTTGCGAAACTGCCCTTGAGGTGGCTAGCCATGGTGGAGGCTGCTGTGGCCATTTTTGTCAATTCACTTAACACTCTCTCTCTATAATTCAGAGAGGCCACAGATCGAATGGTTATAGTAGGGGAGAGACACACACACAGTGACTTGGCAAGCTGAAAATCTTTTTATCGTAAAGTTGTGGTTCTCTGAAAGATGCTTGTATACACGTGTACACTTTTTATTAGCTCACATGTCTTCGGATAGATTCTTTCCTTATCCATAATAACTGATCTTGGATAATTCTATTTGTTTAAATTATATTTGTTTATTCCTTCATAATATTTCCCTTTAATAAAAGTTTTTCAGTAATAACTAAATATCCAAAATTTCTTTTAAACAAAAACAGAAGTTCATTAATGTTTATAATGGCTGTTATAGTGTTATAGAGAGCTAAATTCATTTGAATTAAAATCTTACTAAAAAAACTTCTAAAGATGCCCTTGACTCTGAACTTTCTTTTCAACCCCAGAAACAAAATCCTCCATACAAGCCTTGTAAGTATCCATGCCCGCAACCCTGCCCGCCAATTCCAACCCCATGTCCATCCACTTTTTGGCTTCCACCGCCTGCCCCAACCTCACGGGCAAAGCTGCCCGATTCCATGCCGTCATCGCCAGCCACTTCCCCTCCTCCACCGGATACTCCCCCGCCTTTAACCCCACCATAATCCTCAATGCTTTCTTATACATCCCATACACCCCATCATCATCATCACCACCACCACCACCATCATCATCATCATAATCTGCATTGCCTTTATGAACAGCGGTTATGGTGATTAGTTTTCTGATAATCAGAGAAATTGTTTGATAATCGGGTGATAAAGAGGAGAGGAGGGAAGAGATACAAGTTTTGAGACAAAATGTGGCTATTTTAGGGTTTGATCGTGGTCCTTCTGATGCATTTAGAGCAATTTGAAGAAGATAATTTGGGTTGAAGTGTTTGGAGTTTGTGTAGTTTTTTATACAAACAAGTTGCTTTGATTCTGTGTTGTTGAGTCTTGTGTAAAGATCGAATGCGCTCAATGTGTATATAAAGTAGAAATGTGGTTCGATTGTGGTGTTTTGGTCATCATCTATATGTGTTTTTGTTGATCCAGACATTAGTATCTGCATCACAGTAAAGAAACAATTAATCAAGCGTCTTAAATGACCATTTTGCCCCCCATCGTCTTCATCATCTCCTTCAAGAAACCCCAAAATTAAACCTAATCACTAAACCTATCAACCTTTTCTGCAAATATAGTAATATACTATCCAAGAAACTATGATAGTATTACGCCTCTGGGGGAAAATTAGTCAAAGATTTAAGAACAAAATTAGTACCTTTCCAGCTCTTTCCAGCAATTCAATGGCATGTTTGACTTCATTGTCCGATAATGTATTCTTACTTTCCTTCTCACCAGCTAACATTGCAGACACTGCTAAAATCATCGACTTACATACCATTGAATTATTTCCCTCCATTTGTCCATCAATTTTAACCCCATAATATTCTGCACACATCTTAAAAAGCTCCCCACAAAGTTCATACTTCTTTTCTTGTCCGCTTTTCAACCCAAGATTCCACAAATTTAAAGCAAACCAATTTTGTTCCCTTCTTCCAACCTCACCTGTCCCAAAAAAACATTCGGGTCCAAGTTCAGAGAAACGGGTATGGGCTTTTTTCATGTATTTGAGGATTTCGGGCTCGTTTCCAGGTTCTTTAATGAGAATTGTGATTAGGGTTCTAAAAACTATGACTTCAGTTGTTGGCATTGGTTTCCCATTGGGAAAGAAGGTTAGAAGATGGGATAAAGAGTTGACTGCAACAGGAAGAGCACGACAAGCAATGGCTTCATGGGCAGATAGTGAAAGGAATTCTGGAGTGAAGTCAATGCATGTTGGCATTGTTTGAATTTGAGTAATTGCTCCATTATGATCATTGTTTTGTAGATAGATCTTGAACTGACATATTAAGACAATATTTTGTTTATAAAACTATCAATCATTGTTCTGTAGATAACAATAACTTACCTTCAGGAAAGCAGAAGCAACATTGGGTTCCAACTGCAGTTGTGAAAAATAAAAAGGATATCACAAAAACTTGATTTTATAAAATAAGAAAGTTCTTGAAGTGAATTAAGTGTACCTTAGCAGCCTCATCAATGTATTCTTGAGCTCTATCCAGATGGGAGAGGCCTAGGTGGCATAGACATAGTACTCTGTAGCCTTTTGCCCGAAGAGATCTGTTCTCTATGTCATGAGGGACATAAAGCAGAGACTTCTCAAACATTTCAGCACTCACCTCATAATCCTTAGACCTGAAATAATCTGCTGCACTGAAGGGGAATTGTAACTTTTCAGTTATATTTGTGTCTTTTCAACTATGAAACTGTAAAAGTAAATAAATAGTGAGTTACCAGTTCCATAGAAGAGCATGCATGGCAGACCTCTGATTTGCAGCCAAATCTCCAGCAAAAAGAGCGACAAGTTTGTCATTGGATACAAACTCAGCAACCAATTTGGCCCTAACCCTAGCTCCTTCTCCGTTTACACAATCACCGACCACTCTCTGAACCACCCTAATTGCTGCGGCAGCACTGACGTGTGACCTCCCTAGAAGTCCAAGAAACACACCCATTGCTGTCTCTGCCCCAGAAGTGCCTACTGCCTGTAAGTATGACTCCATTGCTGATACCCAAACACCCTCTGGAATCCCCTTATTTACCACCATGCCCTTTAGCTCCTTCTCTGCTTCTCCGTATCTTCCTAACCCTAACCAAGCCTTCATCGCTAAGACGCTTGAGCTCGGATGATCTCCCCCTTTCTCACCTTCTCTCAAAACTCTTACACACTTCAAAACGTTTTCAAATTCATCTCTCTGCAGATGTGATGCTGCCATGAATCTCAGTGTCTTCAGCCTTAATTCCTTCAAAGCTAGGGTTTCGTCTGGCTTTTTCACGTTTCGTAGCCCTTTCTCACACAATTCCAAAGCTTCACTCATCAACTTCAGGGCCTCGTTTACGGCGGAGACTTCGTTTTTTGATAAAAGTAGTTTTCCGAAATTCGTATATTGATTCGCTAAAGCCATATAGTTCTCTGCAATTCCGAACAGTGCTCTCTTTGATCTATTTAGTAAATTTATCGCCAAATTTCTATCAGAAACCTCCCAAGCCGTTTTTGATCTTGCGATATTTAAATCCAGAAGCAGCCTACGCTCATCACGATCGGATACATTCGTAATCTCGATGTTTGACGTCAGATCGGTCGCTTTCTCGAAGCAATTGCTAGCGAGATCGTACTTATGGAGCTCATGCCAGATTATACCTGTTTTGTAGAAGAACGAAGCGCACTTGAAACAAGGTGAAGGGACACCGGAAACGTCAACGACGAGGAAGAGAAGATCTACGGACACTTGCCGGAGTTTGGCGTGTTCCTCTGTAATTTTAGATGACGATGATCGGACAAAGTTGAAGAGATCCACGCATGCGTTCCATAAACGGTAACTCAACTTCCATATCTGCAGCTTCACGGAGTTCTGGAACGGTGCGAGTGAGGTTAGTTGAGTCAGTCCGTGGCGAAGAGCAGCGGGGACGGACTCCGGCAAAGGAGATTCCGGCGAATGGCGTTCGATTTCAGTTGTTAATGCTTCTAGTTTGCAGAGTAAATCAGATATCGGATCCTGCGACTGCATCTGCCGGAGATCCGGCGAAGAGATCTCGGCGATTCTCATTATTGGCGGCAATTTTACTTCCGAGTTTGAGCGGAGAGAAATACTAGTTCATGAAGTCATTTTTCAAATGCAAGTAAAGTACGCAAATAGCCTCTATATTTTTGTGTACATGCATAAAAGACCCCTTAGATTCTTTGTTTGCACTAGTAGCCCTTATCTTATGAAGGGATATTATATTATGATTCCAATTTGGATTTATATCAGAAAGCCATAATAATAAGATTTTGAAAAACAGATAAAAGATTGTTACGGAATATCTTATATTTAAGAGTAAATTTAGAATAAGTTAATCCTAATCACAATATGATCGCAAAGTAACCGGTTTTGTTTGGCGTGCATATATGGATCGCATTCCTTCTGCGGTGGCCCTTTCTCTCATAGGCATCTCCATTCCACCTCCTGTCACTTTTGCTCTAATGGATTCGAATCTACAGATCACATTTTGATTGGCTGCTCGTTCGCTACTGAGGTGATTCAATGGACGTTAAAATGGTGTAATATCCATGGCATACTTTTGATTCGGTGAAAGACCTGGTGGGTTTTGCAGCTAACTGGGGTAGATGTCCAAAGAAGAGAATAACATTGATTGCCATTGTGTACGGTTACCTTTGGTTTGTCTGGAAAGCCAGAAATGACATGGCGTTTAATAAAAAGCATATCACCCCTACGAAAACGGCGGATCATATCATTATTGAGGTGTACAATTGGGTGAACTTTATGGGCAATTTGGGTAGATTTATTTGGTTGGATTGTCTTTGTTGTCCTTTTAAAATTATGTAATCTCGTTTTGTTTTCCTTTCGCTCCGCCTGTCTCTTGTAGGCGTGGGCTTGTTCTGTTTTGTTTGCTGTTTCTTTTATAAATCGCCGTTTCCAAAAAAAAATACGACAATTAATTGTGGAACTCTTATTTTAAATTGTGATTCCGATTAAATTTGTAACTGAAAAGCGGGTAAACCCATGTATGATGGATGAAACATTAACCCAATATCAAACACAAAGAAAAGACACTGGTATGGATGTTTATTAAGCCCAAATAAGACGTTGGTAATTATAAAATTATTTTCTAAAATCGATTTATGCCAACACTAATAAAGAGTTTTCGGAAAATAAAAAGTTATTCTCATGACCTTTTAAAAACAACTTATAGCTTCTTGAGATATAATGACAATAATTTCCTCATTTTAACCTAAACAATCTCCTCATACATCACCATACTTTTTTTGTCAATTTACATGATTATAAGCATTTTCTGCTAAAACATTCTTAAAAGTGTGTATCTGCTTTTTTTTAGAATTGCCACACATAAATTTTCTAGTATACTCCTAAATGTCTAACACTGTCACATACAACTCGAACATTCAACTATTTTGAGTGATGGACATCATATCTGGATATCGTTGGACAATAAGCCAATATGTATTAAGTATGATCATTTTTTTATGAACCAAGATGCAATATACATTTTTTAACGATTAACTATATAAATAATTAATTAAATAATTATATGGACAAAATTAATATTACACTAGTATAAAAAATGAAAAACTTCATTACTCAAGGAATTAGTTTGACCGATAGGAATTGCGTCATTTTTGTCATGAACACCTCACCTTCACCTATTCATATGATTGTTTACTATGGCAAACGAGTAGTGCTATTTTTAAAATGTCGAGAAAATTCATATGATTGTTTACCATGGCAATAGAGTGGTGCCATTTTTATCACGGAAAACGAGAAGAGAGGGAAAAGAAGGAGAGTGGCAAGAATGGTAGAAAGGACAAGTGTAGTTGTCACCGCCAAGTTCGACATATGCCACGGTCGTGGCATAGTGTTTACCCAGTCCACCTCAATCTAGCCATGGTGCTTGGCGAGCCACTCCCCCGTCCCCATAGTCTTATGTCACATAATCCGAGCCAACATATCCGTCATTTCTTTGATTATGTCAATCAATTAAGGGTATAAGGCTAAACGGTGTCCTAGATTAATATCGCCGGTGGTTGCTGATTTGGCATGTTTACCACCGGTAAACACCGCACCTCAACCTCTTTTTTAACAGGTGGTGAAGTTCACTAGTGAACTTCCACCGATGTCTCTCTCTTGACTTACCGCTGAAAATAATTCATTCTCCCATATTTACTACCAGCGGCAATCTAAATTGTCACATCCTAACACCTTTTAAAAATGGCAAAAATTGCAAAAATGTCTCTATCATCTGATGTGTCCATCGGTAAATATTTTAGGACACCCCCTAGCCTAAATGTATTCACACCAACATACAGATTAACATCCTACAACCAAATTGGACAATCGAATTGATAGAGTTTTCAACAAGAAATCTTAGGGGGTCGTTTGGTTCACAATGTGTATGTCCCACCAAAATCCACAAATCAAACTCACCCTTACTCCATCTCATAAAAACCTACTTGAATCCTACAACGTATCGTATTAATTTGGGACAAATAAAATTTCAATCGTGTTAACATCAATTTCAGATTCTCACTCCAATACAAGTCAAATAGACAAATACGTTACAATGTAGTGAGCTATACCTAAGCGAACTACTCCTGGTAACCAAAAATTAGATACACGGACATAAGTAAGTAAACAACAGAAGAGAAGTAGTGCATAATATATTAGAGGATTACACTTATAGCGTCTGTCACCTAACACAAGAAAGTTTAGTAAGCTTAATACAGTAAAAGTAAAACATGTGATTAATTCAACAAGGTTAACTCCTCCTCCTACAAGTTAAAATCAAAGTCTCCCTTCCCTACAACCTTAGTGCATATAAGCAGCCTGATACTGGTACCCAGTTGCAAAATAGTGAGCATGGTTGGGACCCATATTGTAAGCCGGGGTACCCATATACGCACCCATGTGGGTATCGGGTTGAACCGCATATCCATATGGTCTGTTGTCATACACATACTGTGACTGTGGTGTGGGTGCGGGTGCATACCTTTCGGTGATTCTAGGATAAAAGTTTTTGTCTGTGTTTGTGTTTCGAGGAGGGGGCGCGTATACTGGAGATATCCCATTGGCTCGGGGTCTTTTGGGTTGTGGTTTGGCGACTTCTGTAGCGCGTTTTTTGTCGGCCTTGGCTTTCTCGAGTTGAAGTATTCGTTTTTGAAGCGAGCCCACCGGGTACTGGTCTTCAAGCTTGTGTTCTTCGATGCATTTGATTACGGTTTTTAGGGCAGATAGTTCTCGCTCGCTTACATCATTCTACAATTTCAAATTTTCATATGGATGTTAAGACTTGAGAGTTCAGTAGAGATACATTTTTCATTTTTGGTCCCTGAGTCAAAGCTCAATTTCTCAAATCTGGTCTTTCTCATATTAATATAGCTCATTTTTGCAATAGTCAATTTTTTTGGATCATGGACCAAAAAAGCATTACAAAAGCCTCTCAAACAAGGACCAAAATTGCAAGAGATATTATTGGAACCAAATTCACAAAATCAGTTAATACTCTGGGGGAAAATGTAATAATTTACTACTCTAAATGTTTAGTTTGACGGTATTAGAGTAAATTACTTTTTGGATCCTCATTATAATTTATAGCTGATAATTGCAATTTTGGTCCTTGTTTAAGGTTTTTGTAACGTTTTTTGTTCTTGTTCCAAGTAAAATGACTGCTTTTGGTCCCTGAATATGGCTGATTTTTTTCAATTTTGGTCCCAAAAATAGTCATTTTACTTGGATCAGGACCAAAAACTTTAAAAACCACTCAAACAAGGACCAAAATTGTAAAAGAACATTTTGGGACCAAGAATGAAAAAGAACAGCAATATCCAAGGACCAAAAATGTAATTTACTATAAATGTTAATTAGTTTAACAGTGATAAATAACATTTTTGGTCCCTGAGTTATGAGTATAGATGATAACCACAATTTTGGTCCCCAAAAGTTTCCTCTTTCAATTTTAGTCCTCATTTGAGTATAGTTGATTTTTACAACTTTGGTCCCAAAAAATATAATCATTTTCTTGGAACTGGGACCAAAAGCATTAGAAGAACCTCAAATGAAATTTGGGACCAAAAATGAAAGAATCATACTCAAGGACCAAAAATGTAACTTATTGAGGAAAAGAACCTGTGCAGGAGATAAATTTCCTAATTTGATGAGTGAAGGGACTCTCCTTGCTTCTGTTAAGTATGATTTCAATAATGAAACAGGAGAGAATTGCTCTGTAAGCTCAAAAGCAAATGCTAAGTTAACAGCATCGATATGCCTTCCACTATTCACCAACACATCAATTACACCTGAAGATAATAAAAGAAAATGACTTAATTATTAATTATTTCACCAAATCTTCCCTAAAAACCCTAACCCTAAAACCTAAAAGATCAAAAATCTGAGTAGGGATGGACTCAAAGAGATAAATATGTCTTGTACTCTTGTATTGTCATATTTCATAAATTAGATACAACAGATAGTTAAGTTATCCACTATTTCTTCAATTTTTATTGAGACAAAATGACTGAAAGGTCCCTGTGTTTTCTACATATATACAATTTTTGCGATTTTTGTCCCAAAAATATTATCATTTTACTTCAAATAGAGACTGAAAACGTTACAAAAACAAAACCTTCAAATAAAGACCAAAATTGCAATAGAAAACATTTACATACCAAAATTGGAAAAATCAGCTATACTTAGGGACCAAAACTGTAATTTACTCAAACTTTAACAACACCACCAACTGACATTCTAAATAGGTTAATACTAACTTTAAAAAACAGCCAAAAAGAGAAATTTTGCAATTTATGGGATAAAAAAAAAAAGCAAAATATATTAACAAAAAATTTTAAAAAAAAAAAAAAACGAACCTGGCATCTTCTCTGACAACCCAAGGAAGCGGCAAAGATCAGCAGTTTGGTGGCGGCGAGCCACCATTGGCACCAATTTTATCAAATCTTCTTTAAGAAAACAAGAATGAATACCAAAAGTAGCAACAAGTTGCAAAAAAGCATGAGCTTCCAATGAATTCCCATTACTTGCATCCAAATCAAGATCATCCAATTTCGGTTTCCATTCATCAGCAATACCCTTCGCCCTTTCCTTCACATTTTCCGAAATTACCCTTTTAACATAAACCCCATCAACATTCTCCAACAAAACACTCAAACACTCCATTAACATAATACACGTTCTTCGTTGCCCTAAAAGATTCGCATCCTTTTTCCCATCAACCAAATTGTAAAACCCACTAACCGAATCCAAAACAAAACCACCTGGATCATCCGCCACCTGTAAAGCCACCGGAATCTCCTCCTTTATGGTGGCAAGATTTTTCCGGTTGTCTGAAATGAACTTATGAAGCCCCGCCACGTCATTCTCTTTGCATAGTTTAGCGAGTTGAGGGTTTGTTAGGGTTAACTCGAGTGGCGGCGGCGGTGGTGGTGGTGGTGGTGGTTTCTCTTCCACCATGGGAGTGCCGCCGGTTATGGCGGCAACTGCAAGGTCTCTTTTTTCTTGGAGTTTTTGTAAGGAAGCTTCTTCTTTGGCTATGACGGCTGATTGGCGAGTTTCTAGAAGTTTTTGGGATTGAGTTGTTTTGATTTTGAATTCGTTTTCTTGATCTTCGAGTTCTGTGAAACGTCTTTTTAGGGATTTTTCAAGCCCATGAAAATGGTCTTCGATTTGTTTCCATTTTAGGTTTAGGGTTATTGCTCTATGACTTTCAAGCTCAGCAAATGCTTTTTTGAAGTTGTTGGATTTTGGAGGTTGTTGATTGTAAGAGTGAAGCAACGGATTGTGTGTCTTCCATGGTGGAATTTAGCCCTATAAACTCTTCATTAAACCAAAAAAAAGTATGTCATCATTTTCTCAAATATACTTTAAAACATCATATATCAAGGAGTTAGACATGGTATTAAGTATTTTTCTAACAGAGAGAGTTTTAAAAAGGATAAGATACCCTAAATTTCTTTCATTCATTCAGTTATCCCTAATTATTGAGCCCCTATTTAACAAACCCTAATTTAAGCATCAGAACTCAAAGCAAAGAACAAACTTTAGGTCTATGTCTCTCATATGCTATATTTTATAGTTGCCAAAACAAAGACAAACAGTCAGAGTCTTCTGATCATGAACTTACGAGGCATTTGTTAGAAATAGAAGCACTTAATTAAACCCTAATTAACGCCAACAATAACCCAAAATCAAAATGATGTTAACCATGCAACTCAATCACTTTACTAACCAAACAAATAATTCGTCAATCGTTATCAACAATCCAATTAAAATGTTATAGAACATTATTGAAACTAGTAGATGAGTTATTAACTTTGTGGGGTATGTGACAGCTGCTAGATCAAATCAACCCAACCCAACCCAGCACAAATTACCATTAATAACCGATGAAACATACAAGAAACCAAAATTCAGAAGCTAATTTGAACCGAAATTGAAAAATCAAAGCCATGTTATCAGCTACCATCAAGCAAAATGGTAAAAATAAAAGTAACTGGATCTGAGAATTAAAGTACGAGTGGCGTAAGAAAAGAGAAGAAAATGGGTAAACTCACAGGCGACGGTTGGCGACGGCGACCAACGGCGGCGAATCGTGGAGTGCAGTCAAGGCATTTTGGGTGTTTGAGATGGAGGGTTTCGCGGGTGCATAAACAATCGGATAAAGAGAAAGAGAAAGGGGAAAGTGAAAGAGTTGAAATAAGGAAGACTACCCAACAAGGCGGCTTGGGACACACAAAGACTCTCTTTCCTCCCTTTTTATAGTAATTTATATTGCTATCTATGCTTCGGCAAGACTCATCTTCTAAGATTGACAATAAAAATACCATAAACGTGATAGGGTTTATGCAAAATTGCAAATCTTCCTTTCTACGTAATCAAATAAAGCTCTCATTTTTTTCGAAAGTGTGATACATTTGTCAATTTGTTGGGACCTCTTTCATAACATTGTTCATGATTTCTTCTTACGACATGTGTTTTTTCGTTAATACATCAAGATGAGATAAGATTTTTCTAACTTTTAACTTTTTGTTTTTTAGAAAAATAGAATTAGAAAGAAAAAAAAGTTTTATTATGGTGAACGAATTTATTTTACTTTTAAACCAAAAACTCATAATCCAATTTACTTGAAGTAGTTTTTGAGAGGTTTTTGAAGTTTTAATTTTTATATTTTATGTCATTTTATATTTTTCAAAATCTTTCAATTACTTTTATTGAATATTTCTATACAAATAAAAATTATAACTTTCAATTATAAAACTATGACTTTCAGCTTTCAACTATCAGCTAATTTCTACATGTAGTTCAAAAAAAATAGTTTTACTAAACATACTTTATATATATTTAAGTAATGTATAGATTGTATTTGTTAAATGTCAAACGCAAAAAGATTTTTATAAGTTTAAGTAAGACAAGGCAACGTTGCGATATAACTAAATAATTGAAAAAGCTATAACAAAATATTAAAAGTAACAATTTCTTTAAAATTGATGACAATTTGATATTTGTTTATTCGTAATTTATGAAGATTTTGGAATACTACTTAAATATTGTAAAACAAAATATAACTAAAAATCATATGGAAATTTTATTGCAAAGTAATCATTACAAATTGTTTAAAGTATTTAAAGTTATTGTGTTTTGACAATGGTTATTGTTTTTTGGCACTAAAGATGCCAGGGAAAATGACTTAGGAGGGTAAGTACCTCTTATCCGTGTTCATATATTGGCAACTTCTTCTTTTTTGTACATAAGAAAGCAACTAATTTGTTTTAACTGTTTAAATTACACAAATATTACCGGCTAATACCTTTTTAACCGGTAACTCAAAGGGAAAATGACATAGGAGGGTAACTACCTCTTATCCGTGTTCACATATTGGCAACTTCTTTTTTGTACATAAGAAAGCAACTAACTTGTTTTAACTGTGTAACATCCCAAAATCATGACCAAAAATTTTGTTGGTTAGGTTAGGGTTTGTGGTGGAGATCTGGATACCGACTTGGATCGTGATATCACTTTCCGAACTGATATTTCTACCATATGCCTGGGTTACAAGAAATTCAGCCTAGGATAATCCAAGTGGACACTTACGTTTCTAGGCACATAAAACGTAAGCCAATATGCTAAAGGGTTCTGTGAATGTGTGATGAAAACCGAGAGCTCAAGAACGTAACCCCCTTCTGGAAAGGAAGAGTTGTTTATATATTAAACACGATTAGGGTTTCATTAGGGTTGGGCCGTCATTAGTTGTTTTGGAAGCAAGTAATATTAATCCGGATTAGGGTTACCAAAACTAAAGAGTTTCGTTAGTTTTACCATAATCACCCTCAAGAAATTGAGTTTCGTTAGCGGGACCCCAGCCAGGGGCTCTGCCCCTTGGACCCCACTAGGGGCGCTGCCCCTAGACCCCGCCAAAGGGGCGCTGCCCCTTTGGAAACCCCGGACCCCCGACTAGTCGTCGAACCGGCTTCTGATTCGATCTTATACATGCGTGCACTCCGCACAACCCCGTACATATATTAGAGTACAAATCATGAATCCCCTTAGCTCACATGTTAGTTCCAGTTACTTAAAATGACATGGTGACACTAAAATCACCAACAATCCTCCCCCATTTTAGTGTAACCCTTGAAAAAACATAACCTTATCAACAACAAACCAAACTAGTACATAATGAAAATATCGAAACGATTGAATTTCCACTTAGTATCATACACTTGCAAATACTCGAGAATCAGGGTGTTCTAAGAATTGAACCCATCAACCCATTTGAATACCAGAAAGTAAAATACATACTAGTTTATTGAATTTCTAGCATAATACAACTTGACACTATTATAAAGTCGTGTGTCCCAATCGTCTCATGATCGTATCAAGGTCAAGTCCACAACCTCTTGAAATGCGGCTACACTTCACAATCACGTAGGTAACTCCTTTGCATGTATCTGCACATACATTTATCAAAGGAATTATTAAGAAGTTAAACTTCAACCTGGCTAACTTGCAGAACCGAACACATACCTAGGATGAATACTTCATGTGTTCCAATCTATAAGTATGAGCTTTCCACATTGAATTCAACTCCTAACATTATATTAGGAGGGAATTGGGTATCTCATCATTATAGAATTAAATGGACTTTAATCCCATCCCGATTACAGACTTGTGCACTAAGTCTCTTGTCAGACCTTTAGTCAAGTGATCTGCCAAATTTTGTTGCGATTTCACAAACTCGACCGAAATCACACCATTCATGATTAGTTCTCTAATCATACTATGTCTAACACCTAGGTGTCTAGACTTGCCATTATAAACCTGGCTATATGCCTTAGCCAAAGCGGCAGCACTATCACAAAGGATAGAAATAGGTGCTATCGGTTTAGACCACAAAGGAATCTCATAGACCAAATTCCTTAGCCACTCTACTTCTTTACCAGCAGCTGCTAACGCAACAAACTCAGATTCCATTGTCGAGTTTGTAATGCAAGATTGCTTCTTGGAAGCCCAAGAAATGGCACCTCCCCCAAGCAAGAATACCCAACCAGAAGTTGAGGAATGGTCCTCCATGTTGGTAATCCAACTTGCATCTGAATGACCTTCTAAAACCGAAGGACTCCCCAAGTAACTCAAACCATAATTCATGGTTCCCTTAAGATACTTAAACACTCTATTCACTGCTTGCCAATGTTGAGCACTAGGATTGCTAGTGTACCTGCTCAACTTACCCACAACAAACGCAATATCAGGTCTGGTACTTGTCATGGCATACATCAAGCTACCAATAGCCTTAGAGTATTCCAACTGTGAAATGGGAATACCATTATTTGGCATTAATTTCACACTTGGGTCCATAGGAGTACTCACAGAAGAACACTCGGTAAAATTAAACCGCTTGAGAATTTTCTCAATATAATGACTTTGAGTCATTACCAATCCATTGTTCATCCTCTTAATTCTTATTCCAAGAATTACATCAGCCTCTCCTAAATCTTTCATGGAAAACTTGGATGACAACAATTTCTTTGTTTCGTCCACTTGATTTTGGTCGGTACCAAAAATCAACATGTCATCTACATATAAGCAAATGATCACTCCAGCTCTAGTAGCATCATCAAATCTACTATAAACACATTTGTCACATTGGTTTGTTTTGAAACCAAAAGACAAAATCACCTCATCAAATTTTTGATGCCATTGTTTAGGCGCTTGTTTCAGCCCATACAAAGATTTGACAAGTTTACAAACCATATGCTCTTTACCGGGCATAATGAAACCTTATAGTTGTTTCATGTAAACTTCCTCGTCAAGATCACCATTTAAAAAGGTTGTTTTCACATCCATTTGGTGAATAACCAGATTGTGGATACTTGCCAAGGCAACCAACAATCTAATAGTAGAAATACGTGTAACTGGAGCATACGTATCAAAATAGTCAATACCGGCTTTTTGTCTAAAACCTTGAATGACTAACCGGGCTTTGAATTTCTCAATAGTCCCATTAACATTCATTTTCTTTTTGAAAATTCATTTGCAACCAAGAGGTTTAGAACCCGGAGGCAAATCAGACAACACCCATGTATTGTTCTCAAGAATTGATGACATTTCATCATCAATTGCTTCCTTCCAAAAGGCACTATCACGAGACTCCATGGCCTCTTGATAAGTCTTAGGATCATCTTCAATACTATAGCAATAAGAGTATTCAAGATTAATTTCATCCCTTGAACCTTCCACCAAGTACAGTTGGAAGTCGGATCCGAAATTTTTCGCAACTTGACCTCTTTTGCTTCTACGAATATCTTGTGGTTCTTGCACGACACAACCATCTTGACTTTTTGAATTTTGCTCTTTATTAGCATCAAAAGTCAGATCCTTGGGCCTTTGAATCGATGAAAACCTCATCTCATCAAAAATTGCGTCCCGCGATTCGATAACAGTGTTAATTGAAACCGAATCATTAGGTTCTATTACATAAAACCTATATGCCTTGGAATGTTCAGCATATCCAATGAATATGCAATCAATTCCACGTTCTCCCAAATTTTTTGTTTTGGGCTCGGTAAGTTTTACAACTGCCCGACATCCCCAAACCCGAAATTAACTCAAATTCGGCTTTTTCTTGAACCAAAGTTCATATGGGACTGTTTTGTTCCTTTTATTTGGAACCCTATTTAACAAATAGCAGGCCGTTAACATGACCTCTCCCCAGAATCCTTCACTCAATCCCGAGTAAGACAGCATCGAGTTTACCATTTCCTTTAAAACTCGATTTTTGCGTTCAGCAATGCCATTCTGTTGAGGCGTATAAGGTGTCGTGGTCTCATGAATGACACCCACTGATTGGAAGTATATGGGATCCATATATTTGTTGGATTAATGTCTAAGTCCATAACTATATTTGGTATGTACTTGACCCGACCCGGCATGGTCCATTTGGGTTACACTTCACCGACACAATTTATATGGATAGTCTTTTGAGAATAGTATATTTATGATTTATATTAATATATTATAAGTTCTAATATATTAATATATAATCATATTATTTAATTAGTATTGATCAAGAATTAATTTATAATTAATTAAGTGATCAAAAGGAACTAATTAAATATGGACTCTTAGATATATATATATATATATATATATATATATATGTGTAGTGGGCCAAGTTCATTTAGGTTGGGCTAAGTCTTCATGGATAGTCCATGGAGCTTTAACCCATGGATCCTAGGAAATGAAAGGTCATGGGTATTAGGGTTTAACCCTAATCCTCCACACTATATAAAGGGTCTTATGGTTCATGAAATTATGCTAGTGGCTAGTGTGG